CTTGTTCCTAGTAGCGATGCCAGGAGCCCCTAGTAGCTTCTTGTTCCTAGTAGCGATGCCCTTTGCTCCTAGTAGCTTCTTGTTCCTAGGTTGAAAGTTGAAAGTTGTGGACAACGATTGCCTTGTCGCTTACATGCTCATGAGGTCTCATGAGACTCACTGCTTGAAATTGCTGCTTGCAACCCGAAATCAAAGGGTATTGTGCAAGGATATAAATAAGCATGCTAGCATTGCTGAGCCACCAACCCAACGCATACACCTCTATGAAGGCGAAGACCTGAAATAAGCGAAGGACTTTCCTTGCACAGTATGGATGATGGTGTGAGTCTGATCATCAAAGGTTCGCAATCAACAGGCAAGCCATGTCCACTGCAGACAAAGGCACAGTCAGGTCATTTGGGACAAGAACAGCCGCTCTATACCGAGCAATCTCTTCAGGCCTGAGACAAGGGAAAAAGGCAAAGTATCCTCAGCGCGGAAAGAGGAAGGACCGAAGGACAAGTTTGAAGCTGACTTTGCTCCCGAGGCTCGGTCGGTAGTTCGTCGGGACCAAAAGAGGCAGCCATGACAAAGGTGAAGTTGTGACCTTTTCTGCCAACTAGTTTGAGAGTTGAAACCTGTTGAGAGGGAATTTCAATGAGTTTCAGCTACTTGGATCTCCTAAGGCCCAACTTCCAGCTAAGCGGAAGACCAAATTCATTCGTTCTGAGGAAGGCCTCAAGCACATCCATGAAATATTGCCCTGGAAGTCGATGCCAGTAGCGAGCCCGAAGAACCAACACCTCCAAGGCTATGCAACCGCAAACCAAATAGAAACGTAGCGATCAAACACAAAAAGGCACATTATCTACAGTAGTGATATCAGTGATATCTACAATAGATATTTCGGGGCCTCCTTCCAGTGGCTTTCTGCGCCTGTAGAACCCCAATAGACTCCGTGAGGAAGGTAGTGCGCCACACGCTCTACAACCTGAGAAACCGCCTGAAAGAACCTGAAAGGACATTGTGACATAAATGTAATCCGAAAGAATCAGAATGAAACTGGGGAGGCTGCAGGAAGTTCTACACCAGTCTGGTAGAGGCACTGTGAAGCTGCAAAGAGATTGCATGCAACCAATGCGCGCCTAGGTGAGACAATTTGAACAACAGCAAGGCTGCGCGTGGTCCTCTTGACACAGAAGCCATCAAGCGATGAGCTTGAAATCACTGGGTTTGGAGCCGTGGGTTGTGTGACATCAGCCGAACCTCCACGAGTCTTTAAGTGGCAGATCATACAATGCAGTGCGACGCAGCGTCTATTTGAACCCTGGAGAATGAACACATCTCCAGCCTGTCCCAGCAACATGGTGCCAACATGCTCACCAGGGGGTGCACCCCAAAGCAGTTGCGAGCAAAGCGTCATTACCTTGACCAAAATTAGAGCTGATTCAAAGCAAAACCACATCTAATTAAGCTGTGTATGTCACATCCAAGAACTCTCTCTCTCTCTATATTATATATATCTCTGTATATCAGTTTTCATATCCATTCAACTCACCCTCGGTCAAGAAACCATGAAAGTTGCTGGTGCCAAAATGTCAACGAGATAGCATAGAGCCAATGGGCCAGAACCTTCAGCTTGTGGATGGATCTGACAAATTTGTGATAAACTAGGAGGAGCTTCCGATGCTGAGAGATGCACAAACAATTAAGTCCGCTTCAGCCAGCGAAGACTGTCTTCGCCATTCGTGTCCGAGAACTTCCAACGCTTCTTGCGGTGACCAAGCTACCTCCTCCTCGTGAGGCAACCGTTACTGCTCCAAAGCTTGCAGCACTGCAACTAAAGCACTGCAGTGCTAGCACAGTTACAGTGATGTGGAAATCAAACCTGAACAGTTCGTTTACCCTGTTCGCAGTGAGAGGCATTGTTGATGCCTGCTTACTTTATTTGCTGTACGGTGTGCCACGGCATGGCACCGGTCTGAGGTCCCTGCGTAAAAGCCGGAACTATTGAACATGCTTTTTAGCAGCTCTGCCTTGGCCGAAGCTGAGAACAGCAGTGTGCTTTGACCATCACCGGGATGGTGAGAATGTTTGAAGTTTGAGAACAGCACAATTGGATCGTCCTCACAAGGTGAACCAAGCATCTGACCTGAGTGCAAGTCCATCATGTTCCATTTGAGTGAGAGTGCGGGATCAAACGTGTCGCACACCCAGCAAATGTGTCTGAGGAGCATTTGTAGACGCAAGCATGCTTCAGTGTCTTGTCTCCAGGTCGGCCGTAGCAAGGATGTCCGAAATACGATATGTCAATACTACCTTGGAACGGCAGAAAGGCATGTGATGCAAAGAAGCAAGATTTATATAAGTGTCCAAAAACATCTAGGAGCATCTAGAAACCAAATCATCAGTGCGAGCGCTTCTTCAAGGAAGCTCCCGCACTGGCCGAACGACCAATCGTTTCGACTCAGAATGTCACGCTGCCCCTTCAAGCCATCTTATCCAAGTGGCTGCCCTCCCCAGCCCTGGCAACTTCACCTGAAGCCACAACAAAGACAGGTGACAGGCCTGTCAATGCTTTGTTCTTCACACCCTTTTTACACGTGGTTTTAAGGCCGGGGGGGTAGGCCGCTAGTAGAGGTGAGGTAGCTAGTAGCTAGACGGTAGGTATATAATAGAAGTAGCTAGTAGCTACAAGAACGCTGCTACACATGGACGCAGGATAGCTCACGCTTCCTTGAAGAAGCGCTCGCACTATTCATTTGGTTACTTGGTTCCTAGATTTTTAGGGAAACTTAACGAAGAACGTGTTCTCGTTGAACAACAATTGATGAATTGCATTGACTCTCTCCGACAACCGCTGAGAGCGCGGCGCAAGGCGGCTACAGGCTCCAAAGTGCTTGCAACATGCAAACCAAGGGCTGCAATTCTCAATTGGAATGAATCTTGCAGCAATTCCGATTCTGGCACCGGCACCCAGCTGGCCTGGCGGCTGTGTCTGCAAGATAACAGGTTTGGAAGCACAAAAACTCACACCTCCAAGGGTCTTGAGATGTAGTCTTCTGCCTTGAATATAACATGGCAGTCAGAAGAGGAGCGGAGAGCAAGCGTGGAATGCAAACCTTGACGACAAAGCACACAAAAGATGCGTGCAACAGAGATATGACAACACACACAGACTGGCAAATATACACACGCTTGAACAGTGCAAGCTGAATGACTGAGTTATTTATCAGATGTCAAAATGGATATTCTTCTAGGGTGTGGGCTGAGATGAAGGTCCAAGGAGTTCAAGGGCCAGTCAGAGCTCTCGAGGAAGTTGGTCTCGCAGGTCTCTCCACCCAAGAGCTGCTCGGCCTCAGTCAAACAAATACTCTGAAATCAGCCAAACAGTGTCGGGAAAACGCAAGCATAACAACGCAGCAATATGCAGCAATGCCTTGCAGTTTTTGGATTGCTTTGGTATCTTTTCAAAGGTTCTAGACCATTTCCAGCTCATTTTTACAAGCGACCTCATGTCCATGAGTTCATCTTAAGTTCTCCCCTCGACTGCAGTTCGCAGTTCGCCGCCAAAACAAAGGGTGAGAGATTGGAGCAAGTTGAACCACTGAGATGAGGTGAGGTGCGACGAGGCGATGCAACATGGTACGACTTCATGTCAGATCGGTCGGATAGACTGAGGCTAGCGAAAGCTAGTGACACTGTAATTGTTGAAAAAAAGTTTTCTCTTGGATTATCTGTTAGTTGACGAACATCATAGCGTTTACACCTCATGCACAGCATTACAAGTCACAATCAATCTCCGATTTCTTTCACCACAGCTGCAATTCCAAGGCAGGAAGCTGAAACCAGACTGCACAGTGGTGGGTTGAGGTTGATCATGCTTTATCAGACTCGAAGCTAGCGCCGGATGAAGTGGGAGGGCGGGAGGCCAAAGGTACAACCCAAGACTTTACACTGTTCCACGTCCTAGGTCCTAGAATCAAAAGCATGTCATGCGCATACATACACAGGGAAAGCAAACCTGGAGTTATAGATCAATATAACGATGAATGTATCTGTTTACCATGCGGCAGCAGCGCAAACTGTATTTTAATGTTTCTGGTCTCATGCCAACAACAACTTGTTGAATCTGTGCAATCAGGATCTTTGTTGAGCGGCCCTTGTGTCCTTATCACCAATAAATACAATTTCTAAGGATGCTCTTGAAAAATAACTTGGAGACAAATGCCAGTATTCCTGCAAACATTGGACACAGCTGGAACCTCAGTAGGTCTAGCGTGTGAGTATTTGGGACAAAGGGCAAACATATTATGATGGTGAGACTCCACCACTTCACAGTGATCGCGTTGCCGAGAACTAACTTTGCCCATTGCAGCAAGGCGTTGAGCCGTGACGACTCGCCCAGACTGCGCAAGATGGATGAGAAAGGACACCTAATAGTGATGGCCTTCACCCTAGTAGCGATGGTCTCCACCCTAACCTAGTAGCGATGGCCTCCACCCTAGTAGTGATGGCCTCCACCCTAGTAGCGATAGCCTCCACCCTAGTAGCGATGGCCTCCAGCCTAGTAGCGATGGCCTCCACCCTAGTAGCGATAGCCTCCACCTTAGTACTCCAGTAGTGATGCCTCCAGCCTAGTAGCGATGGCCTCCACCCGGCCAAGCACTCACTTGCGCACCCCCAAATAACCTCACTTGCGCAC